AGCTTTATATTTCTTTTAATAATATAAATAAAATAAATAAAATCACATGATTATAAAATCATGTGACTTGTCGATCTTGGGTTTCATACACATAGTGTACAAATAGAAATTGCCTAATTTTTAATAATATATTTAAAAATTATTTTAATTTATAAAATAAACTTATCTACAAATTTTAAGCAAAATAATTAAAGGATAGCTATTTAAAAAATATAATTTCTCTTTAAAAATACATAAATGATTAATATTAAATAAATTTTTAACAGAAAACTTATTTACTTTGTTATATAAAAAAATATATGTATTTAAATAATATTAAGAAATATTTATATATATATATTGAAATATTATAATTAATATTTTTTAAATACAATATACCATAATTTTTGATCATAAATATAATCAGATCAAATCAAATAAACAATTGAAAATGAAATATAACAATATCATTAACAAATTAATGTAACTAATTAATCATAGTCTTCATGTATAAATATTTTAACCCTTGCTTGTGTGATAGCCGAATCAAACAAATATTTCTTTATGTTGGAGTTGTCAGGAATACTTGATAAAGGAGGTAAAGAAGTAGTTTTAAGATGCTTTCTTTGTTGTTCACGAGTTTGCTGGGACTTAGGTAACGGTAGAAATATTTTTCTTGCATGAGGGAAAGTAGAAGCACTCAACATTTGAGAAAGAAACAAATTCGGCATATATTGTTATGATAATTATCCATTAAGAATTAATTAATTGATACTTTTGAAAGCCATTGTGACTCCAACGATCAATACTGAAAATCTCGTTTCACAAAAACAATAAATCGTATGCTGTGATACCAATGATTGATAGAAAATTATATAACTATTAAATTAATTTCCAACGATGTTAGACTTACGTTGGTAAAAGTGGAAGAGAAGTGGAAGAAACACGGAGAATATAATATGACTGATTCATCTTCTACCAAGATAAATTATTTCGTGAGCACTTGTTTCTCTATGTTGTCCATTCTCAATTCGATTTAATCGTTCAGTAAGTTCTCGAATTTGAGCTTGAAGTCTTACTGTTGAATTATTAGACTCATCAACAACATCAGCATCATTATTATCCCGATTATTCATAATATTCTTAATTGATCCTAACCAACAACTGCTAATAACTTGATCTTGTTCGGAATCTTGTTCGGAACCTTGTTCAAAATCTTGCTCTAGTCTGTCAGTATCAACAACTAATCTTCGAGTTGTTATTGGACAAGTGAAAAGAACTAAAACAGAGCCAAAGAATGTGAGAGCGAGACCTGGCGCCAATGCGATATCATAATTATTATTACTATATCCGGAACAAAAATCGTAACAATAAGAATGTGTGCAGGTCTTGCAAGAGTTAAAACAAATGGAATAACAGGGATAGGGTTTGGAGGTATTATAAAAGGTAAGAAAGCAAGCCCCAGCAATTATAAGAATAAACCCAAATAACATAATAAAAAACCATTTTAGTTTTTTCATAAACATTTTATCAATAATAATAATAAATAATTTTTCATAAAAAAAAATTGATTATTTTGGTTTTAAGTTTTATAAATAAATTTTTTTTTTGTTTGTTTCGGAGGCGGCATAGTCTGAATAAAGTTGTATAATGAATCATTGTATCATATAAGATCATAAATAATGGTAATCTGTGTAATGGAAGATATTCTTATTTATATAATAGAAATTTTTCTATCATTATCAAAGAAATAGGAGTCATTTATTTGTGTAACATCTGTCAAAGAAATCTTATAATAGACTTTAGAAATGATCGACACATGGGATGGTAAGCTATTAAAATCACGTTACGGATCATATGTTCGTAACTCGATTTTAATAGCAAACCTCCCACATTTATTTGGAAATGATTGACATTATTAGACGATATAAAAAAATTGGACAACTTCTTCTAGTTTGTTGTAGATTCAATTTTCATTATAATAAATTTGATTTTTTGTATTAAAAAGATTTATGAAATTTCATGTGGATTTTTAATAATTTGGGAGGTTTTGCTATTAAAATCGAGTTACGATCATATGATCCGTAACGTGATTTTAATAGCTTACCTCCCATTTATTTAACAATTAGATCATTGCTCCTTATCATCAATCACTAACAATATAATATTTAGCCAAATCCTCAATAATTACCATACCTAGCTTAGGAAGACGTGACAGCTCTATGTTTCATCATAATTCTGGCTATCTTACGTGCCAGATGACTTTCACATGTCATCCAGCCTTGTAATATCAGAATTCAATTTTTTTATGAATTATTTTTATAAGCTTTGATATATCATTAATAATCCATCGGATAACAATTTGATTTTTACACAACACATTAGAAAAGGTTAGTTAAATCTTTTAATTAAACAATAAAGAACAATTTAAATTGTTTTTGAATTTATTATTTGATACACTACCATAGGAGACAAATCAAGAAAATTTTAAGAATTGAGCTGAAAATAAAAATTCTCGGATAATGCGCGTATACACTTTAACTCAATTATCATGAAAATTTCATGTAGTATTTATTGAAAATTGACTCTTTTTTTATGTTTCCATATTCCATAAAATTTGTTTGTCGTAACAAATACTTCAATATGTGTGCTTCTGTCATTAATATTATCATATTTCAAAAAAAAAATTACGATTGTAAGCTTATTGGTTTATTAACAAAAATATTGATCTTGACTTATTTTTGATTATTGATAGTTTTGACTCTCGAAGGTAATTTTGACTTTTGGTTTTACATTAAAAATTATTAAAGGGTGGGCGAAATCATATTCTCGAAAGTTTTTCGACATTCGGTATTTCTATTATTAAATAGTTTTAATGTATATAAATTACGAAAATTAAATACTAATTTTGGCTTCATAATTTATCAAGGAATAACATTAATCATGATTTACAATTAATTACATTTAATTCACTTTTTCAGAAACACCTACAAAAAAAAAAAAAAAAAAAACCTAAAAACCTAATGAATTTAAATACATATTGAAAAACCAAAGGGGAGGGGGAAAATTATGTAATTCGTGTAATTTTTTTTTTTATAAAGTCGAAATTACTTCTTATAAAGAGTGAATACGAATCGATGTGATTAAATCCAAACTACAGACTGATACCCAAAACAATAAATAAAATAAAACTTAGAATTATTTCTACGCAGCTCTTTTTGAGAACTCGAAGTCAAGGTATACAGGTTTAAAGTATGATTTTAATTTAAATGTTAATAGTGCGATCGAGTCGACCAGAGTTGTTTGACTCGATTTGAATTTTTTTTCTCGAGTCGGGACTTCATTTTATGAACGAGTCCTAATTCAAAAAAACCCGCCGGATCAGGGTCACGTTTTTGCTTGGACCCGGGTCGACCGGATTGATCAGGCGAACTGATTTAAACGATATAAATTGACGCGCTAGACTTTTTTTTGATTTACGGTACGCGATTTCTTCTTAGGGATTGGAATCGATTCTAATAAAATCGAATCGAAATCGATTTTAATCGTATAAAAAATCGAATCTATTTTGGCATATATAATGCTCAGCACCCGCGCATTACAATATTAAAAGTGTCTATCTACTGTATATGGAGTGGAAGTTGAATTAGATTTTAGTTACAAATATATGAACGAATGTAAATTTTTTTACAATTATTCATGTCCAATAATTAAAAAATTGTATAAATTGTATAGTATTATTAAATTATTATCATTAAACTAGTGGTTTTACCCTGGCGATGCCCAGGGGGTCAGCTAACATGACATGACGTGAAATAATTTTTTAGCATATCGAAATTTAAAATAAGTAATACAATTTATTGATGTTTTTTATAAATAATCCAACCCTAACTCTAAACATCCCTAATCTTAACATTAACACATCGTTTTATAAAAACATAACCGACTCTAACTCTAACCCTAATATTCTAACATTAACTCGTAAATGATGTAATTATATATTATTATTTAATTTCAATTTTTAATGATAAATTTATTTTATTAATTGATTTTAATTTTTAAATAATTAAATTCTTTAATTTTATAATTTATTTATTAATTATTTTTTTCAGATATAGAGTAAAAGAATAAAAATGAACAGAAAATTAAAAAAATTTTTTTGAATTATTTTTTTTTATTTAATGTTTAATGTTCACCCGCGATTTTTTTTTTAAAAAATTTTTATTTTTTTTTTTATAATCGCGCATTATAATATTTAACATTTTTTAATTATTTTTTTAATTTGCATATACATATCCCCCTATTTATTTAATTTAATTTTTTATTTTTATTTTCCGGATTTAATTTATAAAGTGTTTAATTAAATGAATCGATTATATTCGATTAATCGAAATCGAAAATCGAATCTTAAAGTCGAACCTTGGAGAAACGGTAATCGCGATTAAATCGATTCTAATTATCGGAAATCGATTCCAATCCCTACTTCTTCTAGAAAACGAAAAGCATTGCGGAGTGAGCTATTACAGGTAAATTATCGATTAATAAACATTAACTAATACATTTTTTTTAAAAAGCAAAAAGTGTTCCAGTATAACGAGTTTTTTTTTGCGGAACCAAACAAAAGATGTGGTCTTAAAGCTAATACAATTCGTCGGTATGTGCTTGAAATTGTGGTGAAATAAAACAGAATTAGGATTAATGCTCAAAAAAAATAATAATTTTAAAAATAACATAAACTTTATATGACACTTTTTTTATTTTCGGCATTAATATTAATTACAGGTTTTGTAATTATTAACGGGTTTGAGCTCGAATAATTTGAATATTCCTAAACCCGACTAGAAATTAAAAATTAACCGGTTAACGATAATGATTTATTTTAACCGGTAAATAGATGAACTTAACTCCGGCCGAAATTCATTTTCGGCCAGAATTAATATTTTTATGATTGCAAAATATTGTCTAACTCCAGCCAAATTTATAGTACTGGCCTAAGTTAATTTTAACCGGTTAATTAACCGGTTAAATAACTTAGGAAAGTATCAACAAAAAAGCATCAGCAAAATCTTTTGGAAAGATAAATTGTTAAATTTAAAAAGAAATGCAGAACTAGATATATAAAATTCTCAATATTATTAAATATGAGGTTTGCTATTACAAACATAGAAAAATCAGATTCTGAGATCTTCTTACATTTTATTTCTAATATCATCCAAAACTAAAATGCAGTAAAAATTAAATTTTGTTAAAATTCTTAAAGTCTGATTTTTCTAACAATCTTTTCATATATTCTATAATGTGATTTAATAGCAAACTCCCAAATATTCAAGTGTTAAAGTATAAATTTCTTTTAAATTTTTATTAATTTGATTTAGAATAATTATTCCAATAACAAAGTTAATCTGCAATAAACATTAATGAACTTCAATTAAGCAAATATTATAATTACTTTTTGATTTTTAGAATAAAAAAAAAATACTAATAATTTCTTAAATATTACACATCTTTCATTTTTAATATCCAAATCCATTGTTAAATAAAGTAAAATAAATAATTTTACATAGTGCAATAAATAAAATATCTTTGTAATTTTAATAGATTTATTAATGATATATTCTGATAAAAATGCAAATTTTTGAGTATCATCTCTTATCTAGATTATTATTAATAAAAAATTAATGCTAATTTATTAAATTTTTTTATATATTATTTAGCAGTAAAGAAATTATAAATAAAATAATTATTTTAATTATAAATTTAATTATTTAACAAAGAATTTATTAAATTTACTTACTTGATTTTATACCTTTTATTTTAAATTCAAAAAGTTTTTTCATAATACTTTATCAATTAATTTATTACCATTTAAATAATTATCATTATTATATTATTATTAAGTTTATTTCTTTTAGATTTAAACTTTTAAATCTTCTTTATTTTTTAAATAATGAGTATATTTATATTAATTTAAAAAATTATGTGAATAAACCTTTTAGTTTGATTATTATATCACAATTTATACATATAAATTATTGATCAAAGTTGAAATTATTTAAAATTCATGATATTATAATAAATTTAGCTTACTATTAAATATTGTAAATCATCATTTTCAATATGAATTTTATATATAAATAATAAATAATTGGCAAATTAGCAAATTTTTAATTAAAATTACATGAATAATTAATAATATTTTAAAAATTAAGAATATTTTGCTTAATATTATAACCTTTTGTAAATAGAAAATAAAAAGTTTAGTTTTTAATTTTTAACCTTTTAAAATATTTATTTTTTTGTTCTTTTATTAAATTAAAAAAAATTAATTTGAATTAAATAATTAAATTATAAAAGTCATGAATAATTAATATTTTCTATTATGTTATTAAGTTTATATAAATTTTTAAAAATAAAATTTATTAAATTTAAAAATTAACAAATTAATAGAATTAGAGTTTTATTATTTATTTTCAATTATAATACTATTATATTATTAATTTTTCTACATCTATTTTATATTTGATATTCTTAAAATATATATTTATAAGTTTTTTTAATAAAACAGATTTAGCATTTTAAATATTATTTCATTAATTATTATATTAATAAGAAGTTTTTAAATATTATATTTATTCATATTCTATTTATTATATTCATTAAAAATTTATAATCATGATAAAAATAAGTAAAAAGCAATTGATTAAATATTATTATTAAAATATTATAATATAATATATTTTTAAAATGTAAGTTTCTATAGATTGTATTCTAATTATATGAATAAAATAAGTTATTCTAATTATATTATAAGTTAAATAGATTTTTTCTGTTTGTGTAAATTTTTTATGATTTTTTTCATAAATAATTTTTAAATTTATATTCATAAAAGATATTATAAAACCAAAAATGCTATTTAAGCTAGTTTAAAAAAGCATATATTATAAATATAATTTTTATTAAAAATTATAATAAATATTCTAATCTATTTTTAAACATAATCTATTTAACATTAATATTAAACTGATAGAAATAGTTCAAAGTTAGTCTTATTAAAGATCTATTAAATAAAGATTATTTTCTTTTTCTAATCTTTTTATATTACTTTTATAATTATAATCTCTTTATTTATTGTTTTTAAATTTTAATTAAGATATCTTTTATTAATTAAATTTGCTATATAAATTTTAGAGTATTTACTCTAAGTTAAATATTTAACATTTTATAAAATATTATAAGAAATTTATTTTATTATTTTATATGAAACATATATTTCTAT